ACTCCTAGGCGTGTTCAGACCTTTATTTTGAAATAGCAATGAACATGAAAAATCATGAAAAAAATTGTAGAAACCTAGTTTGTTTTCATACCAAGAGTTCAAAAGATAGCATCCATTCAATTATTTTAGAAAAAAAAAAGTCTGAAAATGTTTTAAATATAAAGAAAAAAATAATAAATTCACCATTTGTGATGTGGCAGCGAGCTATGACGCACATGCGTGTTCTTTGTATGTGTTTCTTAGAGGTTGAATTCATATCAAAATCTGCCAAACTTCCCATACTACTTCTGAATAGGATCTCTACTTCATAAATTGTATGAAAATTGTGGAAATAATGGTTCATATCACTCAAAACACATATGGAAATAGAGGCGCCCTTATATGGGCAGTAATGGAGTCTGGTTGTGACCTAGTGAAAAAGTTTGGTACTGCGCCCAAACAAAATCTTACTGAAAGCTCATTTTTTGAGATATCAACCCAAAATTTGAAACACAACTTGTTCAGATTTTTGGCTTTGATTTTTCTGCAGTTTTAGAGTAGCCCAGGTTTTGGAAATATAGATTTTATATAAAATATGAATAATTATTTTTTTTACATTGTACATTTCCATAAACTCAAACTTCTATAACTTTTTTTCTGTTTCACTTTCTTAATTTATTTCACTTCTACATAAATCTGCCAAATGTCTTCTTTAAAACAAGACCAATCTTACGTCTATATTCCAAAGCATTCTTGAATTACAACCATTTATGTTCGAAATGTGCATTTTCATGTCTATTCAAAAAAAGGGGGGTGACAGTTAACAGGTTAATCACTTTGCACACAATATTAAAATAATTTTCATTAAACATTAACATACAGTATTTTTATTTTGTCAACTTATATGAAGAGTTTGGTTCCAAAACGCTATAAATCCAAAATTGTTAAATTGAGAGAAAAAGGCATTTTCTTTCCCAAAAGACTGTTTGTATGAAAACTGTCATTTTCTGTTTCAAACTGTAATATATCATTATGAGTTTGTAATAACATAAAAAAAATCAAATCCATATTTTGATTTTAAACATTTATTAAACAAAGACTTTTTTTTCTCCAAAATGCAATATATCCATAACACGTTTTTCCCCAAAATGCTACAAATCCATTGGGGAAAAGGGGAAGAAACAGGGCAGCGAAACACGGCGGATATCACGTTTTGTTAAAAACTGATTATCGAACTTTGAATAGAGAGTAAATGGGGAGCTTGTTTTGGCGGTAACTTGATTTTGCGTTTGCGTCAAAATTGGCGTTTATCGCGTTTTGGAACCAAACTCTTTATATATATAATATATATGTAGTATATAGTATCTGTCTATGTAATGTATAGTATTTTGTCATTCCTCCCTCTGTTTTTCCTCTCTGTACCACCTCTGCTCTGTTTGTGTAATTTAAGTCACCGTTACTCATTCTGGAGAAGGTAGAAGGCTGTATTTCTGGGTTGTGTCTCATTATTGTGGGAGGCTGTTCTGCTGCGCTGGTCTGTTGGTGTCGGTTCCTCCGGCAGGTGAAGGCCACAATCCCACACTGACAGGGAGGTCTGCTTCTCTGGGCCTGTCGACGAGTGCATACGATCCGGCCGGCTCGGGGAACACCTCCGCCTGTCTGTTGTCTCTGTGTGCTTTCCAGTTAGCTTTGGCTGGCCTGGCCTCAGGGCCGACCGCATGATTAACTAGATTAGTCGAGGGCCGGAGGGAATCGTCCGCTCCACACAGGGTGATACGTAAGAGACGCAGGGACACCCCATCGTGCACCTGGCCGCAAAACGTTCTCACAAGCCAAAGTCTATTAGGCTCGAAAAGTTAGCGCTCGCCACAGACAGAACTGTGAAAATGAGTCCCGCTATCACGCAGAGGCTCTTGCCAGCTCTCCTCCACCTGCTGCTAGAGAAATGGCCACAGCCTGCGAAGAACCCACATTTCCTGCCTTTTATTAGTCCTGAGCTCACGAACATATCCTGAACGCCAGGAAGGAGATTTCCGGCCAATATAAAGACACAATTGACATTAAAGGATGGCTTCGAGAGGGATGAGGGATGGAGTAAACACACACACTCAAACAGTCTTTGATGGTGTTCCACTCTGTTCTCTGCTGGTCAAACAGGTCGTGGTTGTGATAAACAGAAAGATTTTGTCCTAATTCAACCTTTCTGCTGTTTATCCCATCCTGGACTGTTAGTGTGGGCACACTTATGTGCAATTCTGTGAAAAATGACATCAAAAAGTGGGCCCAAAAGGCTTGGATGAAAACCCGGTGCGGTAACCATCTCCAGCCTTCTGTGTTGCGCAGCCCGCTCATAAACGCTCGCTGGCTCCGTAACATAAGACTCCTTTCTCTTTTCTACCCAGAATTCCTCATAACGGCATGATGGATTTATTTCTTCAACATTGATTTCCGTGTGCATTCATCTCAAAATCGCACCCAATTTTACCATTGGGTCTTGTTTTATGTTATTAAGTGTCAGGTGCGATTGAACTTTGGAATAACGTTTGCTTTAATGCCCGCCGGGCCTCATTTCTCCAGTTAAGTGACCGCAGAACGTAATTGTTTAGAAATGTAGGTTCATATTATTTTGAGAAAGGAAATGTTGAAAGAGCGAACGTTTTATAAGAAGTCATTTTAAGCTTTTGCACTTGAGGTCTGGGTTGCTTTTTGTTTTTCTAGCTTGACCTTGCAGCGGTGGTCATTCAACAACATTTGCTTTTGCCTCGTCATGGCTTTGGGATGTCAGAAAGTACATGTCCTTCCCTGGGGCCTTAATTTGGCTGAGTGAAAAGGACTTTTTTTTATTTCGTTTTTTGAGGGGTGTTTACTGGATGCAAGTTTCAAAGGCTTCATTATGCAGAAGTTTAGAGCATCTTTATAGCTAAAAGTTAACAAACTTTCTGATGTTTGCTCACACACTCAAGCCGATATCATGAGAATTTCAAAGTGCTTTCAAGCCTGTGAACATTGCCTGAAGCTGTTTTGTATATGAATTATTAATTTAAAGATCTAGATGAATTACTATTTTTGATAAAATTCCAGGGTTTGAGCTCTGTGAAGATAAGATTCATTAAAAAGTGTTGAACTTTCTCCAAAGCGCAATCCATTTTTACCTGTGTCCAAGTCTGCGTTTTTTTTTATTTTAGGTTTATATGTTATGTTTTGATGTATAATTAGTGTATTTTTCCTCTAGACAACCTCAAAATTGTGCTGAAAGATTATTTTCTTTCTCTCCCTCAGTACAGTGCCCTGTCATAGACCTGTTTACCTGTGTTTCATTTTTTCCACTCATTTTAATGTTGCTTCTCTCGTTGCCTGAAGCCACACTAGTACTCAAATGTAGTATAGTTTTCCTAGTATTGATAAAATGGCCGCTAATGCAACTTAAAGCTCAGTACAGAGAGGAGGAAGATGACAGGGGGTTACGCATGTGATCCAGAGTTTTATTTAGAGGAAAGGAAAATGTTGGCATTGGGAAAATTGACAAAGAAGGCCCTGTAAATGGGGTCTCTGCCCTTGCACACGTGCGTAGTTGAGTTCAGTACACAGAGATGTTTCCATTTAGGTTTGTGTGTTAGCAAGAAAGTGAGACATTCTCTTCAAAAGTCTCTTGTATTTATTTCTGTTTTTTACAGAACCGTTCAAAAGTTGGTGTCTGTAAGATTTGTTTTTGACAAAAGTGTTTGACTGAATGCTCACCAAGGCTGCATTTGTTTGATCAAAAAACTGTAAAAACAGTCATTTTGTGAAATGTTATTACAATTTAAAATAAAAAAATTCTGTTTTAATATATTTTAAAAGTATAATTTATACCTGTGATGGCAAAGCTGAATTTTCAGCATCATTACTCCAGTCTTCATAGTCACATGATCCTTCAAAAATCATTCTAATATGCTGATTTGTTCAAAGTTCAAAATAACAGCATTTGAAGTAGAAATCTTTGAAACATTATAAATATATTTACTCTCACCAATCAGATGAATGCATTCTTAGAAAAAAATAAAACTCTTATATTTTAGAATTTTCAGATATTTCATAATGTGTATTCAAATTAATACAGATATTAATATTCTTATTCAGATTTTTAGAAATTAGAATATTGGTTTAATCTGATTAGGTTAAAGCATTTACACTTCCATAATCAAAGTTAGAAGAGTCATGTATGTTTGTGTGGTTCAATATTTCACTGTTGGACATAAAGCAGAGCTATATTTTGGGTCCGTTTAAGGAATCTTTGGAATGGATATTTGATTTAATCTGACGGGATGGGCTAGATTAGAGTGTCACCATCACTTGTACTGTATCTGAAGTGAAGCTCACTGGAAATATTGGCATGCGTGCTGGTAATATCAACCCCACAAAGCCTTCCTTTCAGCAAGGTTTAAGAATCGTGTTTTTTTTTTGTTGTTATATTCCTGCGCCATCATGCTTTTATCACAGCATATCAAAAATACCAGAACGACTGGCGAATTACATCTGAATTAGATGTCATCGTTTCACTTTATTGTTGTAGAAGCATTTCCCTCATGAACTCTGTGAAATGGGGTTACCTATCCCATCACATCAGAGCTCAAATGGAGACATATAAACATATAATCAAAACCCTGAATAAAGGCCTGGCCTGCAATGCATAAAAACAGTCAGCTGCTTATTGCAAGTGTAGCGGAGCCAAGCAGATGGCTTGGCCTCTTCTGGAAACACCAAATAGGAACATTCCAGTATATTTATGACCTGTTACACAAACTCCCTTGAGCACACACACAAAGTCTTTCTTTTGCTTTGTTATATGGTCATGTTATCTTCGAGATGGTCTTTTGACAGCACATCTTGCCTGATGTTTCCAAACTCCAGGCACTTTTATTAGATTTTTTTTTAATAGCCATCAAATTAGCAGTGTTGGGGAAGCTACTTTGGAGCTGCGACTTTGCAGAGATGCTCATAAAATAGTCCCAACTACAGTCAAGCTACACTGGGTCCGAGTAGTACTAGTTAAGTTGCAAACTAAATAATATTTCAGAAAGTATAATTGTCAGATGGTACCATTTAATTCTGCAATTACACCATTTATCTGGCACAAAACACCAGAGCTAACTAATAAAACTGTAAAACGTGTTTATTTAACTGAGCAGAAAACATTGTTTAAATAAATATTTCGGGGTCTAAATGAAATGGTGAATCATTTAAATGAATCAATGAATTGTTTGTTTAAATCAGGGAATTGTTTAAATAAATCAGGCAATCGTTTATTTAATCAGTGAATCGTTTATTTACATGAACCATGTGAATGAACTGATTCACTACAATAAATCCGATTTCCCAATGCAACATTTGTGAGAGAGGACAGAGTTCACTCGGCTGTGGGTGCAGTGATAAAAATGTGATGAAAAATGCAGTGATGTAGCTGTTTGTCATGCTACACCAATGCTTATTGGGAAAGCTACATAGTTTTGAAAGCAGCTGTTGTGCTGTAATGAATGTGTAGTCAAGTTAGAAGATGCTTTTAGTCATTTACTCCCTAACAGTGCAAGCACCTATTGTGTTCTGTGTGTTTCGAGCCTCAAGACCTCAATTCTGTTTGCGCTTGCAGCAAATTATGGTTATAAAAAATATTGAAAAGAGCAGTGGATGTAATAGTAGTAGACTTTCCCTCTTCATCGCCTACGCTCTTGTCAACACGCCTTCTGATCCTGCATGGCTACACGCTACGGCCTCACATCCCAGAAACACGCGTTCATGTACAGTAAAGAGAGGAAAGAAAACGATAGAAAAAAGATAGAAACACACTAACACCAGTCGTTCCTTTACTAGTATTATGTCACCTGGCTAACTCTAACCCCAAACTTTTGTATGGCAACTGTTAGCTGATGACTAGAGTTGTGCTAGTTTCTGCAACAGGAGCCAGAAGACTGTGGCTTTCCTCTGGTACTTCAACACAGAGACTCCACTGTGCTCAGGACAGCTCATCCAGAAGAACGATCAGGTTCTAGTGCCGCAGCGGCTTGGCCCGATTTCTCCAAGCCTTGTTCGGCGTCACCTTGCTTCAGTGAACATGCTCTTTACACTGCTTTTTACTCCAGAGTACTAGCCGAATTGGGATGCAGGCGTTGTGCGAAGCACCTTGGTTCTGCTTTCCTGGCACATGTAGACATGGCTTGTCATATCCCATAAGCCCCCATAATAACTCTTCAATTACTTTCCCGTATTGTGTGTCTTGGGCAATGCACTTTGGTGTCAAGGGGGGCCGAGGGAGGTCTTTCCACAACGCTGTGTTATTACTCATTTAAAGACATTGGTGTTGGCATAGTCAGTGGTACATCTGTTCTGCAAGGCATAGGCGTACGTTTTTTTAATTCTTTTTGATCAAGTCAAGATGGTGAACAGTAACCGATCCTGGACGCCACGCTGCCAGTGCACAGTACTCCGATGCCGGCCACGTAAACAGGAAAACTCTGGCGCTTGTTGGGACCGAATGACCCCAGGATTTAGGCCTGTTTGATACAACACTTCTCAGAAATGAAAACCGCTTGAATGCTCTTTTAATTTAAATATTCCTTTGTTTTTGGTAGTGCTTTGTGTTCCTGTGGGTTTCCATGCCACAGCAAATGGAGGAGGGTGAAGGATAATGAGAAAAATCCCAGAGCATAAACACAAACATAATGGCGTTTTCATTTGCAGCACAGCTTGATCTGTGGAGATCAGTTCTGCTCCCTTTTGTTGTCATTTCTGATAAGCTACCTTATGGCTCCTCTCATTGACCCTTCTGTTTGTACTTGACTGCTTGTATGTGTGCAAAAGAAGAAGAAAAAAATCTCTTTGAAGAAAAGATTTTTGATTCTAATTGTAGCATTTAATATTTAGTTTTTTGTTCCATTTTATTCTGAATGGAATTATGCTTATTCTATTCCACAGTAATCTTCATTGTATAATCCATACTATTTGAAAAACAACAACAACATTGTGCATTATTATTATTTAAATTTTTATTTTTCCCCATTCCTAATTAATATACAAAGCTTGTTATTATATATTAAAATATAGCTACTTTTTACATCGAACTCACGTTAAATGTAGGTATTTTATCTAATTTCATCAAGCATACAATAGTACTTTGTTTTATTTATTTATTTATTTTCAGAATGGAATAATATACGTTAGAGTAATGTTCATTGTATACTTCATACTATTTATTAAAACTTTGTATTATTTCATAATGTGCTTATTTTACATTCTGCATACTTTTTTTGCAGCTTTAGTTGCTATATCCTGAACATACTGTTTCCTGTATCCATCCACCTCTATGTCCATCTGTGCATGTCTGACAGAAATCTGTTGTTTTGTCACTGCAGGCATATGAAAGACCAAAGCAAGAAGGTTGCCAATCTGAAGCACAAAGAGCAGGTGGAGAAGAGCAAGAACGCCCAGTTGATGGAAGAGGCTCGTAAGAGAGAGGATAACATCAGCGAGAGTTCTCAACAGGTCCAGGTAAAGTACACGTGACATTTGTTATTCACAGTTATTTGATTGGCTGAGCGACATTACAAGAGTTTCGATATTTATCCCTACGGATCTGAGATGTTTCAGTGTTTAAATCGCTGCGTCTGTTTGTGGCGTTCAACACCAGACCTCATGCTTGTGTGATGTTGCCTAATTGAAATGCCGGATGAATCTCTGTTCCCTGTAATGGATTTCAGAAGATTTTACACACATAACCACTGAAATCTGACGAGAGCAGTGGCTGTTATAATCTTAACATTGAAACTTAACCCATAATGAGGCCAATCAACCCTTTAAGAGGGTCAAAGACCCCTCAAAAACCATGAGTTATTCACAATAGCTCAAACCTTTGTGCAGTATTTAAAGGTTTTCCTTTTGTGCTGCCTAGAAATGTGTCTCTTCAGAGTGATCTGTCTTCTGATTATATAAGTTTGGATGTCAGCTCCAGTTCCTCATTTGAGAATTGCTAGGATTCTTCTCAGGTAAAGAGCGATCTCATGTTTCCCTCATCCAGACCGCATTCACGCACATCCTGACCTTGTGTCCTCCTCTCATTGTGAGCTTTGGATTTTGGAAAAAGAGAAGAGGAGAAAATAATTGAACGATGAAATAGGACACAGTTGTTCAGTGCGACCGCAGGAACTATTTTTGAATTTATGGCTTTGTGATAGTGAAGAAGAAGCGCCAGCGTCGGCATCCAGGTATCGGAGTGTTTAGTTTAGATTTGCGAATACAAGCTACCTCATCTGGGCTGATGTAACTTTCACCATATTGACTTTTTTAGCCCCAATTTGACAGGATGGTGGTCTGTGGTGGTCTTTCCCGCTCTTCTGGAGTCAGCAGTTAATGTCTGTGAGAATCTCAGTGCAAAAAGTCCCAGTTTTTACAGAGGGGCTGTTTTTACGGTGGGGCTGTTTTTCCTCTTTGCCGTAGACCTCTGGACAACAATGCCACAGCGGCCCTCCCTCTGTTGTGGTTTTCTGTGTTTTTCCTGGCTGTTGGTTTGTTCTTTCGATCATTCTCCGTTTTCACATTTTCCTTGTTCTGTGTCATGTGTTCTCTGTTTTCGTTCGAGTTCATATGCTATATTTCTGACAGCAGGATTGATGTGCTATTGGACTTCGACCTGTGGTACCCGGCGACTGGAGCGTCAGTGTTTTCGTGCGCAAGAGTACGTGTTGTGGTCTAAGAGAGCTCATTTATGACTTCAGGGCTCCAGCTTCCTCCGTGGGGTCACGTTGCCGCAAGCCCACATTGTGGCTTACGCTCCCCCGTTCGAAGCACCCTGATGCGGCTGCATCGCGGGCCTCGTCTGGAAGCGGCGACAGCTGCTTCCTTCAGCCAAGACCATCAACCGCCACCTTCCCCCACAGGCACGTCACGATACGGCTTTGAGGCCCTGAGACTCTAGATCAGGCGAACCCTGAGCTGATGTGCACACGCTATTGGACGCATCAGGCGTGTTTGGAAGGGAAACCAATTGTTGTTGTTTCGGTATGGTTACAGTGGTCCTGCTCCAATCAGTTGGTCAGGGTAAGCTGAGAGAGAGGTTAGCCCAGGACAGCAGAACAATCCTCTCTCTCCTCGCAGCACTGACCCGGCACTAAAAATGGCTTTTTCAATCAATTAAGAAGGTTTCCATTGGAGCCCTGAGGTGGGATGTGGGGTGGTCAGTCGTGGTTAAGCACCAGAGCTGCACAAACATGTTCAGAATAGCAACTATTGACTTTGGAGAAGGTTAGATGGTCAGAAGAAAGGTCTTTCGCTTCTTTTTTCGAGTTTCCTGCTGGTGGCGTGGTGCTGCTTCCACATGATTTGATCCAATCAGTCCTCTAATTAGTGGTGCTTTCTTAGGCAAGGATCACTGTAACTATTCTAGCAAACCCCTAGTCCTTAATATTAAACTTTGGTGTGTAACGCATGCTCTTTAAATGAATCAGACTTAAAATCGTACTGCTTGAGGATGTGAGCTATTACTTTTGCTCTATTTTGACTATTCCTATTTCAGGGCAAGAATTTACTCCCTTTCTACTAAAATGATAGAATTTGAATTAAAAAACATTCTAAACTTAGTTTTGAATTGCTAACTGATAACTAACCCTAACCCTGGGCCTGTAAACAACTTCCAAAATACTCCAATCAGAACTCCCTAGCAATCAGATGGCGACATGTCTTTTTGATGGGCAAGTATGAAAATGTCAATGTCTATTTAATTAAGTTTAGCTGTTAGTTTCCATAGGACGATCAAATGGAATGCAGATGCTGCATGTGCAGAGAATTGCAATGCAGAAGAGTGTCTTTGATCAACACCCCTCAAGAGCGTGACTTTAACCTCTTCTGAATCATCCCTATCCTTTTTCATTTATCTCTCTAGTCTGATAAAACAGGAGATGGGTTTTAATAGGCCTCCACATCTCTTTAGTGTTTCCGAGACATTTTCCGCTGGATACCGAGTTCCCAGACGTGCAATACGTACTGGATCATCAAGCGTACCTCTCCCGCCGATCAAATATCATCAGCCTGAAGAAATCAAGACTTTCGCTGGGAAACGGAGAGAAGCAGGATGGAGAAAGACAGCGGGGGAGAAAAGATGACATTATAATGAAGCCCAGTAAATACCTGTTTTACTGCGTGGTTGAGTCTGTTCCCTTTTACTGCACAGTCTCACTGTGAGTGCAGTGGCAAATGCTCTGACTCTCAGCATGCCCTGTGACCAGAAGGCCCCACTGTAGCCCGATCTCCACCTTGACCGGCCTTCTTTGAAGGTAAAAAGGCAGAATAAATTAAAGAGAAATTTGGGAAGAAAATAGACAGGTCAAAGAAAGAAAAGATACATCCAGTCAACATGCTGCAATTCAGAAAGGGTGAACATATTCCACTACATACTTTGTGCAATCATCAAAGCAAGCTCAGAAAAGGGTTTCCCCCACAGATGCAGTGTGTGTACTTATCCAGAGAAGCCATTATACTGGTGCCGGAGCGCCACACATTACGAATGGCGATAGAAAGCCATAGGTCTTCTGTTTATAAGTCTCCCAGCCCCTTTTATGTTTGGCACATTGTGCTCTCATGTGGTTGTAAACATCAGCACTCAAATGCAGAGAGCTTAGAGTGACACCTTTAGTGTGCAATTATGGAACAGTATTTTATAACATTTGGTGAGTTAGGGATCATGCTGTTAAGTTTTCTTACAAGCACCAGTGGTCTTTTGTTTTTGCACACTTATGAAAGCCTGAATATATCTGTAAGGTAGGTTCGATTTTATAAAACTATCATAGCATGTCTGACAGTAAAAGAATCCAGAAAAACCTGTCAACCTCAGTATCAACACGTCATCCTCACCTATCCTTAAACACATTTATATAAAAATGTATGTGCCAGGGTACAGATCTGCAATTATGCAGCTTCTTATTAGTCTTTCTCTTTGTGTTCACATTTGCTGGCGAATGAAAAGATCTGACAGGTGATAGCAACACACTGGAGTTAATAAAGCCAAAGTGCTGGAGGCGAATCGCAGGTTTATGGCCCTTTTTAAACACACAGATATAAAAGAGTCAAACAGGAGCCTTTTATGACTCGTTGGCCTGCCGACGCTGCTTTTATTGAGGGGGAACATATTACTGTCCCTGGGGGGGAGGCCTTTTTTCATCCTAAATGTCATTTTCTCAACCTGCCATAACAGACTGGTCACAGTGCAATATCTAGGATCCATTAGAAAGCCATAGTTGGCATAGGACAGTCTTAGCAAATGGGATACAGTGAGCAAACCTGGTTTTCTAGTTTTAGCTGGTCTTTTGTTTTGTGCCTTTTTTGTTTGTTAGGTGTTTTTGGACATTTTAAAATGTGCTTTAAAAGGCTAAAACCAGCGAAGTATGCTATTTTTTTTTCAGCAAGGAGCTGTTATGATTCTTACAAATAGCTTGTGCTTGACCTAACGGTGAGTTGTGCGTGTAGAGGAACCATCTTGGGATTAGATGTTACATTACTGTCTCTGGCAAATTAGCGTTGGCAGCTTCAGGTTTAGGACTTTTTTGATTTCTTGAGGTCTCTGTGGAATGTTCTTGAATGTTCCAGTCTGTCTTCCAAAACCTCCAAAGACTGACGAGAGATCAGGCTCTAGCGGTAACACTGAGCAGAGGTGAAACAAAACTGCGGTAAAAATCTGCCCGACAAGGTCGTCATCACTAATGCGGTGGCGAGAGCCATTCTCAACACTCAGAGGGAAACGGAAAGAGAGAGAGGTAAAGCGAGGCTGAGATGGAGAAATGGAAATGGCGCAGGAAGAAAAGCAAGAGGCGCAGTGTACTTCACACATGAAAGCCTTGATTCTGCCACTCATCACCTCTCGAGCGCGAACAGGTCAGGAGGGAGCTAACAGACGCCAGTCGTGAGACTGACACACCAAAGCGCTGTCAGAGAGGAACTCTGGTAAACGCAGACTGGAGAACAGCAACTTTATTGAGCTGTGAGATTCAAGAGCACCTTGTTTGGTTGTAGGGAAGCAATGGGCTGCAACAGTTTGATTTATCTGGTGCATGTTAGAGATGGTGTGCTAGCATGACTGCCCAAACAGTCGAAAGGAAGGAAATGACATTTTCTCTGTGGGCTTTCCCAAACTTTTTTTTGTCCTTTTGCATTTTGCTGAGGAGAAGACAACAGCGCTGAGTTTCTGGCCTCCACCAGAAAGCGTATGACATAGCAGCCGTTGAATAATGAATGGTAGAAATCTCAGCGCTCAACATTACAGCTAGGAGAAAGGAAATCCTGGCCTAAAATTAAAAGATCGTACTGCTTTTATTGGCAAGGACATCATCTGATTGCTTTGCTAAGGAACGTTTATCCACATTAGATGGATGCGACAGAAAAATAGCCTGACTGGAGCTAAACAAACTAAATTTACTATTCCCCCTTTTTCTTGATGTATTGACATACATTGCAAAAATGACTTTGAATGAGTTTTTAATTGGTGTGTTTTGACCTAAAAAATG